AAACAAAACTGGCTCCCAGAGAAAGATGGGAAGGAATGCCCAAAGAGGTTTTATTTATGAGGAAAGTGGAGACTCAAGGAACTATATCACTTCAGATTTGAGAGCACCTACTGCTCCACCTGGATTGACACAGAAATAAAATGGCCACAGAGGATTAAAGTAGGAGCAGGAAGCCAACACTGCCTTCATTTATAAGCTCATAGTTAAATATCTTAAAAACGGAGCCACGGGCCGGGGAGATAGCTACGCAGAAAAAGTACCTGCCTGGGAAGCAGAAGGTCCTGAGTTCAATCGCTGGTACCCTCCACCCCCCCCAAAAAAAAATTATCCCCAGTTCCACCAAAAAAAAAAAAACAAAAAAAAACCCAAAAAACGGATCCAGCTTGTAGGGAATATCGTAGGTAACATTTTATTTCTTGTTTCCATGTGATGAGTAGTAAAAGCCTTAGTCCAAAAAGGGTCTGGCACAGCAGTAGGGGAAGAAGAGTGGCCTAAGGAAGCTGTACTGGACTACTGCAGCCAATCTTGAAGAAAAAAAGTCGCATGGCACAAAGTAGGTGTCAGCAGCTTTGGCAAAGGAAAAGACTGGGGCCCTGAAATCTGACAAAGGAAGAAAAGAAAACTCCACAGAAACTAGCAGAGCTGAAGAATAAATCTTGGCGAGACCTCCTAATTGAAGATACCATGAAGACAAGTAGACAGCTTAATTAATCTAGCTGCTCTCCTAACTCAGTACTTCTCCTCAGCGTTTTAAGAAAATCTTACTACAGGTAGTTTGAAGGAATGTATTTTACATACTCTGAAATTCTATCCTTTGCAAGATCTCTGCTCTATAGTTAACCCATTGTAAACTTTTCTTGCTCAGAACTTCCCTTTGTAAACAGCTCTCTTTCTGTGTGTACGCGTGTGAGGAATTTCTGGTTTTGGAAGGTCATCTGTAAGGATAGGTCTGCAAAAAGGTCTTTAGGGGTAGGCGTGGGAGACCTACGGCAGGCAGGTTAGTGAAAAGGAGGCGTATTAGCCAAGGACTACTTGCAGGCTCTCGGTTGTGTTCTCATACCTGTAGGATACAGATTTTTCTCCAGTTCAAACAGGATAGGGTTGCCACCACTGGCATACACAGTCACCGTATCGCCTTTGTGAGAGTACAACTTCACAATGTTGAGCTCCTCCTTTCCAGGTATTAACTCAGAGACCTGATCTGTTCCAAGGGTGGTGAAGGCAGCTGTCACATCAGCTCTAAGCTTTCTCCTGCGGGAAGCACACCAGCACCATGAGAACTCCTGGACGAATTTCAGTAAACGTAGAGAATTTGAAAGGACTCATTTATAAAGGCCATGAACAGCCTGGTTTCTGAGGCTGTTCTCATACACTCTTCCAAAATCCTACTCTTTATCATCGTTTGTCTCCTCTATTTTTTCACACGCTCCTGGGTCTGTCTTTCCATGTCACGGGCAGGAAAACAGAAGTCCAGGGAGCAAAGTCGGCCTGACAGAGGACGCCCAACCCTCCTTTAACTTCATGCTAACACTCAGATCCACTCCTTTATAAAAATGTCTGGCAATTTGTTGGCTCATGATTAAATAGCACCAGGAATGTCACATATCAGACACTGGGTCCCAAATCTCCAACAACATACCGTTTCTGTATTTGCGACACCGCCCGATGAGGCAGTTCCCCTAAGAGTTCGTCCCGGTTTCCTCCCGCCTCCGCCCCAGCCGATTAGAATACAAAGGAACACTAGACTTTCCTCCTCCCAATCAGTTCTCGGCGGCCCGCCGGATCTCCCCGGAGGGCGGGGCCGCCGCACACCTCCAGCGCCACACCCTCCGCATCCCCCTAACAGTCTGCGGTCAGCACAGGCCGGTAGCATTACATTTCCCTTCATTTCATTTCATCGGAGTATCCAGCGGACGGCCGGGCACACGCGGGAATCCCTCCGCCGCCGCCGCGCGCACCCGCCCGGCCCGGGTCGGCCGCGCCGCCCTGCCACACCGCGGCCCTCCAGGTAGCAGACGCCTCGGGGCCCTGCGGCCTCCCCTCCCTCACCTGTCCGACCCCTTGATGGCCGTGTTGGACTTGACCCGAAAGGCCTTGGCGAACATGTCTGCGGAGACAGCCCGGGGCGCGCAGAAGCCGGGCGCTGTCAGGAACGCGAAGGCGTGGAGGCTCCCGGGCCCGCAGCGCTGGGGGCGGCCATGTCCGGCTCCCGGCCGCGAAAGGGGCCCGGCTGGAAACGCAGGCTGCGCGGCTTTGCATCCGCGGCCACTGCGCAGGTCGCGGCTGCCCCTAGTGGCGAGGTGGGAGACTGCAGCAAGAGCCGCGGGCCGGCCTCAGCCCCCCCCTCCCGCCCCGTCCCGCCCCGCCCCACCCACCCCAGCAGGAGCTTGTTCTTTCCCGGGTCGGCTCTGCGCCCCTACGTGTGCTGTGGCCCGACTGCAGCAACAGCGGTTTCGTTCCCACCCTTCCACTCCCTCAGCTTTGCCGGCTCCCATTCCACTCCATTCCCATTCCACAAAATGAGTTGAATTCGCGTTTTATTAAACGTGTAGGCCTTGTGGATGTCCCCCACCCCCGTAATGGGGATTGAACCAGAGCCTTCGCCTTAGGCTACATCCCAGCCCTTTTCATTTTTATGTTTTTGTTTGCTTGTTTGTTTTTGTATTTTAGGGAAGGGTCTACAGGGTGTTTAGGGTCTCACTACTACATCGGACTCATAGTGATCGGCCTCTTTACAGCCTCCCAAGAACTGGGATTTACAAGCACTGACCACCACGCCCAGTCTCAATTGCCATCTCAGCGCGCCCCGGAGGCCGGCCAGCATGGGAAGTCCAGGAATCGAACCCCCATCCTCTGCGTCGCCGGCCCTTATGTTGTATTTTGAGAAAGTCTTGCTAAATCGCTTAGCTGACCGGGTGGAACTCAAATTTGAGGTCCTCCTTTCAAAGCCTCCCAAAGTCCAAGTATGGATTTTCCTCCAGGCTGTGAATACTTTTCTTGGAGATTTTATTAAAGTCTTTTGCATTGTAAGCTAGCCACCTCAGCTAGGATTTCCTCCAAGATTTTTTCCATGATTATTTATTTATTTATTTATTTTTGGCGGAACCGGGGATTGAACTCAGGCCCTTGCGCTTGTCAGGGAAGCGCTATTCCACTGAGCCATCTCCCCGGCCCTATGATTTTTTATTTACACGGGGTGTTCTGACAGAAACAAGGGCTCTACCCTGATCCAAGGTTTGCTGCAGAAGTTGTGCAAACAGGGAGAGAGATTAGGTTTCCCTGAGAAGAACAGCTATATAAATGGAAGGCCAGGATTTAAACACTTGGGTGATGGCCCCGACTAAATTAAAATTTGCATTTTAAAACTTAAGAATAAGACTGGGTGTGGTGGCATGCACCTGTAATCCCAATGCTTGGGAGGCTGAAAACAGGAGGATCACTACGAGTCCAAGCTGCGTAGTGAGACCCTGTAGAACCTGTACTAAAAATACAAAACAAAACAAGAAAAAGAAGAAAAAAGAAAGAAAAGAAGCTTCAGAATAATTGTTCATTCACCAGTGAAAAATACTTGAGTGAGCCGTTTCTTCCCTGTGATGCCCGTCTGCCATGCCACTGTGCCCTGGAGCAGAGTTGACTATGAATTGAAACCTCTACAGACTGTGAGCTATGACAAACCTTTCCTCTCTTAACTTGTGGGTGTTTAGGGGCCGGGGAGATGGCTCAGTGGAATAAGCGCTTCCCTGGCAAGCCCAAGGGCCTGAGTTCAATTCCCAGTTCCGAAAAAAAAAAGCTTGTGGGTGTTTGGTATTTTGTCTCAGCGTGGAGAAAAGTGACTAAGATGTCTATGCAATTTAGTGACTAAGTACAAATACCTACTCATCTGGGAGGAAAGTTTAATTACTCCATATTACATAAAAAGAAATTCCAGAATGATTAAAGATCTAAATATGAAAAAAATATACCATAGAACTAAATATGTTCGGGGGCCAGGGAGATGGCTCAGTGGAATAAGCACTTCCCTAGCAAGCACAAGGGTCTGAGTTCAATCCTCGGTTCTGCCAAAAACAAACAAAAAAAAAGAACAAACAAAAAAAGAACTAAATATGTTCTTACTGTATGATCCATCTATCATCAAATACTTGGAATTTACTCAAATAAATGGAAATGCAAGTCCATTCAAAAACTTGCGCACAGTTCATGATAGCAGGTATACCCAGAACTGATGTTCTTTGGTAGGTGACCAGCTAAACTGTGGTATAGCCAACAATGGAATATTTCTAAGCTGTAAAGAAATGAGCTACCAGGGCCAGCCAAATAGCTCAGTGGATTAAAGCGCCTGCAAGCAGGTGCAGGGGCTGGAAGTTCGATCCCCAGGCCTGCCATGTGCTGAGACAGCAATTGAGACTGAGTGTGGTGGCTTGTGCCTATAATCCCAGCTCTTGGGAGGCTGTAAACAGGTGGATCACTATGAGTCCGATCTAGTAGTGCGACCCTGAACACCCTGTAAACCCTTCCCTAAAATACAAAAAGAAAGAAAGAAGTGAGCTACCAAACTTCAAAAGACATGGAAGATATTCAATGTAATTACTAAGTGAAAAAAGCCAATTAGAAAAGGATTATACCTAAAGTATGTAAGTGATGATTCCAAATTGATGACATTTTGAGAAGGGCAAAACTATGGAGATAATCAAAAGAATAATTAGGGGACAGGGAGGGTAAGCAGCCCTCTGTCTTTCCCTTCTTCTCTATCTTTGAAGCACTTGTGATTGATAGGTTCCATCCTGAGTACTAACTGCTAAATTATCATGGCCCTGAGTCAACATGGCTCAATCCCCAACACAACAGCTTACCTTCCCAGCGACCACTTCCTCCTCCTTCCTCACTCCAGCCCTGGGTACAACTTCCTTTTACCTGTCCTGCCCACAGGGAGCCTCCAATCAGCTCCTATACATCACTGAGCCTGCTCCTCAAGCTCCGCCCCAGCACAAGTCCACGCAGTCTCAGCCTCCCTGTTCCCTCTTCACATCTCCCTGCCCTGGATTGATCATCTCTGAGTCCTCAGAATTAATAAAGGCGCCCCCCCCCTTATTTCTGCTTCTCTTCGGTACTGCTGCTGCCACTGATAAAACCTAACAGTGTTTATACTGAACCTACCCAGATTAGTAAAATCTCTCCATTTTCAGGCTTTAATTTCATTTGCAGTCTTTTTCTCAAGCAAAGGGGCCTGTACTCTGATTCAGGGGATAAGAGTATGGACATCTTTGGGGGACTGTTATTCTGTTTATCAGGTTTCAGAGGCTTTAATCAGAGGAAACTGTTTCACATAATTCGAAGGCCTCTTCTGTCTAATCTGGGCTTCCTGCCTGGCAACATGCAGTTGTAGAGGGTCTCACTAAGTTGCTAAATTGCATAGGCAAGTTTCGAACTTGTGGATCTCCTGCCTCAGACTTACAGAATGCAGAAATTACAGGTGGGATATCTTCTTAATGTGTACATCTGAAACTGTCACGATCACTTTCTCAGTTTTCCATGAATCATTTTTGTGGTACTAGGAATCTCACCCACAGCCTCCCACCTGCTAGACAGGTGCTCCACCAGTTAGCTCTACCCCTGTGCCCTTCCACCGGTGTTTGAAGATCCTGGAACAGTTGGTTTCCAGTTTATTAAAGGTTCTTTAGAACTGGCTTCCAAAGGCTGCCAGGCATTTTCCAGGATGCTTGGCTAATCCACTGGTGAGTAAATCCAGCTTTAGCAGCGTGGAGAACAATAGTAATGCTCAGCTCCTTGGGAATGGGGTTTTAGAAGGGATGCAAGGGCGCCCACGGTCTGGGAGCTGCTCCACAAGGCTCTGGATACTCCTGCTGAGTCCTACTTAGACCGGAACCCAGCCCAGCTGTTGGGAAACAGGTGCTCTGTAAAGAAACGCTGGAAAGCACTTAGGCTACCAAAGTCAGGGACCCGTGGAGCTCCAGCTCCCTCAAGGAGCGCCCCAGACCTTGGCCATGGAAGTAGCAGTAGAAGTTAATAGAGGCCTCTGTATTTCCCACATTAGAGGCCAGAAAGTGGGGGATGGAATGCTTCAGCGTGGCTCTGAAAACTGTCTTAGGACAGACTGGAGCTGCAGTGACTCAGAATGAAGCAGAAAAACTTGTGGGGGCAAGTCCCATTCAACTTTGGCACAGTAAAGAGCCGTCCACAGAAGTACTAAGAGCAAAGATTACATACTAGAATTTTGCAATCTCAGAGCTGGAAGAGACCTTCACAAGAATCTAGTCCAAACTTCTTGTTGCCATGGGACTCTTCAAACAAAAGCTTCAAAGAGCCCCAGTGTAAACACCTATGGAAGCAAGATTGCTCGGGCTGCTGGGGAGGACAAGGGAAAGGAACAAAGAAAAGCCTGACTTATAAAGTAAGAGAAATCTAAAAGATCACCATGAAAGAAAAGCTTTTTATTGATTTTATATCATAAAGAAGCTAAAGCAGTACTGATCACAAAAAATAAAGTTCCCCAAATAGATCGATTCCTAACTTATAAAGTGAATCTCATACGTGCTAAATATCTAGGAATATTTCCACTTGGAGGCAGCGAATATGACCTTTAGCCACACGGAATTGAGCATCGGGTGGAAACTAAGGTTTATGGGACTGTGCTGTGCGATTTTAAAGCAACTAGTCCTCAAATCCCACCAGAGGGCGCCCGCGCTGGGCATTCTGAGTCGGTTTGTGGCGGGTCAGATGGCCTCGCGCGAGGTGAATTTAGGAAATCCAGCTGGGTGCCACGCATTCCGTAATACACTGTTCTGTAATCTAATCTCTTTTTTTTAATTATTTATTTTTATTTATTACATTTATTTATTGTGTGTGTGGCCAGCTCAGCCCACCAGGGGGTGGGGCTGGCTGGCATGTGGTGCTGGGGGATCGAACCGCAGTCCCTGTGCTTTGCCAAGCTTGTTTCAAGTAGGTACTTTAGACCACTGAGCCATCTCTCCAGCCCTGTAATCTAATCTCTTTCCCTTTCACTTTCCTTCCAAAGGTCAAGGTCTGATTTCCTCAGTTTTACTGAGGAATCTATACTTCTCAGAAGGGAAAAAGCGCCTTCACAACATATACTGACAAAAACAAACAAAGCAGAAAGAGCCTTCCAAGGGGCCGGGGACAGCTGGAAGCCTGTGCTTTGAAGCTTCTAGTCCGGATTTAGCCACTCCGCGGCTCTAAGGAAACACGACTTATCAGGCCTCAGGTTCCCCATGTGTACAACTTCTCTTTGTGCCCTACCATCGCTGCATACTGTTACAGGGGAATCAGACAAAGCCCGGCTTCAATTCTGGGTCCCAGAATCAGTAAAAGTTGGACATCGCCTGGTGTGGCTACTGAGGTTATTTAACTAAATAATGCTGGCAAGCGAGGTCGTTCCTCGCTCTCTCGAGCACCCCCTTGCCCCCCCCCACCGGCGGTGAGAAAGTCTATTAATTCAGGCGGGACGTTTTAGAACTCTAGGCTGCCACGTGCAATTTAACTGCAGCCCGGAAGGGCGGGCAACACTTCGGGGGCTTTCACTAAGTCTCCTCCTGAACCCAGCCGCTGCGTCCCCACAAGCTCCTAGGCCGCGTGACAGCTGTGGGGACACGGCCCCGCCCCCGCCCCTGCCCCCGCCCCTCGCCCCGCCCCTCGCGTCAGTGCGTCTTTGCGCAGGGGCGTTTCCCGGGGCGTGCCGCGGTTGCTAGGCGACCGGGCCGCTCCCCCGCCCGCCCTGCGCTCTGTCTGCCTCCTGGCTGCGGCCAGTCGGGAGCGAAAGCGCGCGGAGCTGCAGAGTCTGGCCGAGTCCCCAGGGAGGCGTCGCACCCTCGGGGCGGCTGTCTCAGCGCAGGTGGGCGCCGCCCGCCAGACCCTCCAACCGCCACCTCTGCCTCCGCAGGGGTCCCCGAACTAGCGATGGGGGGCGCGGCTCACGGGCCGGGACGGAAGGATTCGGGGCCGCCCGGGGTCGGGCTCCAGCCCCAGCAGCGGAGGTAACGGCGCCCGGGGTAACTGGCTGGGTACAACCGAGGGATCGTCTGGCTCTGGCCCTCGAGACCGGGGTGCGGGGAAGCCTGGGCTGGAGGCTAGGCGAGCCCCTAGCCGGACACACGGACGGCTCCCTCGGGACCGCCCCTCGTCCCCCCAGCTCCCTAGCCAGCAGGAGCCTGGGTGCTTCCGCGGAGCTGGTGGGAGTGGGACCACCTCGAGAATCTCTGAAACCCTAGATCGGGATGCATGGCCAGGGATTCTGCACACTTGGGACTCTGTGCGGCTCTTCAGCAAACCAGTAGCTTTGAAACCGTCCCTGTTGCTCAGAGCGCAGAACCACGACTGAACTCTTGGGGGCTTCACTGTGAAGGGTGCGGTCCGGCTTCCTCTGCAGGTGAGGGGCAGTGCTGGACAGGGCGGCCAGCGGATCCCTTTTGGAGAGATTCTCCACCTTGCGTTGGAGTCGCAGCATAATGCAGGACCCCCGACCCCCGGTTCCTTTTACATGGAGTATTCCCGTGGTTATTTTTTTATTTATTTATTTATTTATTGTTAATAGGAAATCTTGTAGGAATTTATTTCTGTACCTGTGGCTGTCCGTCCTTATTTGTTTTATCAGGCCATAGCAAAGGGTTGGCCAATTCCGGAATATTTGGTTTTTGCCACTGAAGCATTTTGCTGTTAAAGATAGAAATAATTCTATCAGAATGTGAGCTTGCTTTTAAAAGGGATCCTTAGAAAACATTTTGTGCTTTTTTCATACCTTTTGCATTCCTTTAATACGTTAGACAAACTAGAACTAGTTTTACAAAAACAGTCTTTAAGGCAACAAAAATATTCCAAGATATTTAATTTCTTTTTAAATCATCCTTTGCAACACAGTCATTGTTGCAGTCATGGTATATCATATAAAATGATAGCGGTGAATAGGAAACCCATGTTCTTGGTAGCACATGAGACACTTAATTCAGGGCCATTTTGTGGATTAAAGAAATCCTGTCTTTTGTGTTTCCTTGCGGTGGCGTGCCCACAATGTGAAAGAATAGAAAAATGATCCTTAATTTGTTAGCGTTTTGACTCCCCTGTCTACCAGGAAATGAAATGGGAAGTGAAGTAAGATTCAGTATCATTTCATGATTTAAAGCATCCCTTTTGTGTTCACTATAATAGTCACTATTTTTCTGTAAATTAGGTAGCTATAAATAAGTAAATAGAAGAGAGCCCCGAAAGACCTTGTGTTTCATGCCCATAAGACCTAGACATGTGTAGACTAGAGCTGAACTTCTTATCAACATGTGGACAACCTGCTTGTAGGGGAGGTACAGCACAGCAAGTGGTGCAGCTCAGATTAGAATCCAAGCCTCAGACTTTGAAAACACAACTTCTGTCATGTTTTTCCCTTCAAATATTTGGACTGTGTGTGTGTGTGTGTGTGTGTGTGTGTGTGTGTGTGTGTGTGTGTGGTATTGTTTGTTTTGTAGTTTTAAGACAGGTTTGGCCTAGGGAGATAGCTCAGCAGCATAAATACCTGCGTGGCAAGTGCAAGGTCTTGAGTTTGATCCCTGGTACCAAGAAAAAAAAATCCAGGATTTTGAGGGGCACCCACTTTCAGGCCTCCTTGTGTCCCTCTTAGATAGAAGCTTTCTTTCTCTCAATAAGTTCCTCCTACTCTTAATATAAAAAGAAAGAGAGAGAAAAAAAGAGAAGGTTTCACTGTGAAGTTCAGGCTGGTCTTGAAGTCACCTTGTAGCCCACACTGGCCTCCAACTGGCAGGGATCCTCCTGCTTCAGCCTCTCCAGTGCTGGGATTATAGGGATGTGCCACCTCCCCTGGCCTAACTTGCATTTTAAAGGAATAAGTTAACTAATAGTCCTTGTTTTTTAAACAATATTCAGAAAGTAAGACTTGTTCTATTTTAAAATAAGTGGAAATCCTGCCCTTTCTTAAACAAAAGGAAAAGTGGAGATTCTTCATACCTCTGCCAAATGCCCTAGTTGTTTTTGTTGTTTCTTCAACAACAAAATGCAGGGTAGACATTTACTCCCATTGATTGTTCTTCGTGGTAGGATTGAAGCAGTTGAGGCAGCAGGTTTTGGGATCACAAGTCTATATCCTTCAGTTACTGACAGATTTTTGTCTATAATCCTTGCTCCTAGATTGGGGGATGGTATCTATGATACCTTCATGATGATAGATGAAACCAGATGTCCACCCTGTTCAAATGTGCTGTGCAACCCTTCTGAACCAGCCCTACCCAGAAGACTGAATGTAAGTAAAGGAGGTGATTCTGCATGTTCTCATGTGTTGGACAGGAGCAAGTGCTACTTCAGTGCTCCAGGTTCAGTTATGTGTCACTGGCAACACAGCCTTTGCATCACCTTGGTTTCTCCTGGTTTTGGCAAACAATTTTTGTGGTCCAGGTTTAGCTTTCAGAATGATTTTGACTTGGAGCTCACCTTTTCATTTCAATTTCTGAGAGAAATAAATAGTATCAGAAAATAAAGGATGCTACATTTACCTAGGTAGTTTTTATTTTAATAGAAGGTGACACCATATTACAAAGGCTCTGTTTAGCAAAAACAAGGAACTAAAAATATCTTGAAATTCATACATCTGCAGAATTTTTCTCTGTAAAATAGAAATGGAGTCCTGGCTTATTGGTATGCTAACAAGAACCCTTTTGTAACTCATAAATTGAACTTGAACAATACAGTTTGGTTTCTGATGCATTTAATTTAATCATTTCAGGAACTGCAGACACTTAGCTTTTGACCCTGTCTTACTTAAAGGTAATAATAAAATTAATTCACATTCCCTCAGCATATATAGAATAATAGACAGAGCTGGGTTTGGACAAGTTCCAAGACAGGGAGATGCTGTCCTGTGACTTCAGATTTTGCTGTATATGTCACCTAATGAGCATACTGAATAATTGCATTGGCTAATTTGTAATATTTTTCTCTTTTATGTATCTGTGTTGAAGACCTGAAATTGTTTCTGTATGGAACAAACTGCTTGCCTCTTTCATAGTCTTTCCCAAGTTTTCAATAGTTTCTGCTACTGAAATCAACCTTTTCTTCACTTTCAAGGCTAATAATATGACAAGGCATCAGCTAAAAATATTTGGAAGGCTGGTCACTCTATTTTTAAACTCCTTTATGGAATGCGGTAGGCTTTCTTTCCATTTTCTGCAAGTTTATTTCTTTAGTACAAAGGAAATCTCTGATTCTAGAAACACACACCTCGTGTGTTGACCAGCAGGTTTCTGGGCCCCTTGCCCCCAACCAGTGCCTCTGCAGACCTTCTGCAGCTGCGCTAGCACGCTAACATCTGACTTCAAGTTAGTTTGAACTTTAATTCAGAATGGATCCCTGTTGATCACTTCCCAGTAGGTCACTTAAATTGTTTTTTCAGGCTCAAAATTAATTTCTCATTGCATGTCATTCAGAGTAACACTTTTTGAAAAGCACAAGACTTTCAATTCTAACCCAATGGTGTCTTCACAGTTTTGCTGGGGGAAAAATGCTTTTGACCTATTGGTGGCACTTACAGTTCATTATACTGTGATGCCTTCCTAAGACTATCGCTCCTGTCACAAAACCTTTGAGCCTCGTTGTTGTTTAGGAATGCTCTTACGTTCTTCCCGTAAACTATAACTCATTTGTTCTGAGGCTTTTGGGGGATAAGTTCTGTGTTACAGTGATTTAAGGCTAGGAACTGCATAAAGGGTAGGTTTTTATATCTGGATGAGAAAGATGTTCTTTTTTTTTTTTTTGTGGTACCACGTTTAGAATTCAGGACCTTATGTTTGCCAGGCAGGCACTTATTCCACTGAGCTATCTCCCTGGCCCAAGATGTTCTTTCAAAATTTCTCAACATTTTAGGATTCAACAAATACATTATATTAGTAATACTTGAAGCACTATAAGCCCTGCAAGTTAAATATATGTGAAATATTTTTTTTTCTTTTTTTTTTTTTTTGGTGGAACCGGGGATTGAACTCAGGTCCTTGCGCTTGCCAGGGAACTGCTTATTCCTCTGAACCATCTCCCCGGCCCCTATGTGAAATATTCTTAAGAAATAAAACATAGTCAATCAGGCATCTGTATTTCTGGATATAATTACAGAATCAACAAAATATTTGTTAGAATTGCTTTATGCATTCTTATTATTGTGGTTATTACCCCAGACTAGAAATGTTCATGGATTATAACTCTGTGAACTATATCCCTGTCTCATCTCTTACATTTTAACACTTGTGAACATTATAGATTCTCCAAGAACAATGGAAAGAAGATTTCATTTATAGCATAGGCAATGTGATAATGTAGTTGACTCAGGCCAGTATCTGAGTTATTGACAGGAAAGAAAGATAAGGAAAGAACCTCCCCTTGTGTGGAAAACTTCCTTCCTGGAATTCTCCAGGTTTGGTGAAGGTTTGGACCTCACCTGCAGCAGTGTGCCTGTCCTGGAAGCCACACCGCTTGAGAAACAAGGAAGTACGGCCCTTGGGGAGAATGTTAACTAACAGGAAGCAGCAAAACCCAGTGCATGGCAGGCAGGTGAGAAGCAGCAGAGGGCACAGAGAAGCTACAGAAGAATAGTGGCAGCACACACAGGACAGCCCCTTTTAGGTATTCCAAATGCTTACAGTGAAATTTAGACACTGCTGTGTAGGGCCCAAGAACAAGGCCAAACTTAAAGAGTCAAGGAGAAAGGTGTAGGCTGGTTTTTTTTGTTGTTGTTGTTTGTTTTGTTTTGTTTTTTTTTGAGACATGGTTTCACCTTGTTCAGCCTGGGCCTGCACCCACTTTGCATCCCAGGCTGACCTCAAACTCACAGCAGTCCTCCTGCTGGGATTACAGGCGTGTGTCACCATGCCTGGTCATAGGCTTCCTTTTAAAAAAAGTGATGGGTCAGGAAATCCCAATTAATCCCATTTTCATTAATCCCAATTAATCTCTGTAATAGTCCTTTGGAAATTAAATTTTTGCTCTTATTACCATACTGTGCCTAAGGCCCTGTCTTCACCACTAACAGAAATGAAGACTTCCAGAAGCGCGTGGCGCAGCCTCACCTGCACGCACAGGGATGGCCCCTAGACCACTAATGCTTTTCCTACCTGCTTGTCCCTGATGACTGCAGGTCCTAGAGGGGCATTTCTTCGGGTTGAAATGGTGACCTTTTGTTAAGGTTCCAATATCTCTGGGGAGGTAACACATCCAATTGTAGAACTAGCTGAAAGCAGGTGTGGTGTAGGGTAGCAGGTGGACAAGGCACTTCTGTACAGATGCCTGTTATGGGGCCCTGGTTGGCAGAGGTGTATTTAGTGGTAGATACTTGGTAGAAGAAGATTGGAGGTATGAGGAAGCCATTAGACAGAAGAAACCAAAACTGGCAAGGAAGGGTGTGTAGGAGTTTAAACCTTAACACACTGAGAATTTTGTCTAATGGTAATCAGTGTTTTTAACATGTTTCATAGTTTGTGATTGTCTTTCACATATTTTCTTTCCCTTTTATGTATTTGGTACAGGGTCTCACTATGCAGCTTGGACTTGTAGTGATCCTCCTGTTTTTAGCCTCCCTAGCACTGGTATTACGGGCCTGTGCCACCGTGCCCAGTCTTGGTCGCCAGCACGGCACATAGTACCAGGGATGGATCCCTGGTCCCTGTGTTTGCCTAAGCAAGTGCCTAGTCGGCTGAGCTTCACATATATTTTTTATTATAATTTGATTTATACAGTATCCTGCAAGTAGGAATTATCTACATTTTAGCCAGGCATAGTGGTACATGCCTATAATCCCAGCACTTGGAAGGCTGAGACAGGAGGATTGCTGCGAGTTCAAGGGCCAGCCTGGGCTACATAATGAGTTCAGGGTCAGCTTAAACTACATAGAGAGACCCTGTCTTTTCTTTTCTTTTCTTTTTTTTTTCTTTTGGCAGAACCCGGGATTGAATTTAGGCCCTTGCACTTGCCAGGCAAGCACTTATTCTACTGAGCTATCTCCCCGCCCCCTGAGAGACTCTGTCTTAAAAAAAAAAAAAAAAAAAAAAAAAAAAGATTAATTTGTCCAGGGACCTACAGCTTTCTTTTTTAATTTAAGAAATTTAACTTTTTATTTAACACCAAGGCTTATATCAAGTGCTTATTTTTAAAAATAGTGAATGGCACCTGCTTTGAATTCATTGATGACACCATCAGAGGGTAGAGCTCTATGGACGAAGTAGAATTTTAGGCTGACATGAAACTAGTATCTCACAAAATAGAAACTGCAACAGACATCACAATCAACACTCCACTTCCTACCTTCAGAGCTACAGCTTTTAAGGAGTACAGTTGGACCCCAACGTGGGCCTTCTGACTTCACATTTGTCCGTATTTCAGATGTGTCTCAAAAACTTCAGCATTAAATACTCACATGCATTAAAGTTAGGTAGTAAATCTATTTAAGGAAAATGGGCCCAGCTATATGCAGATGTTGGTTTTTATTATGAAACTAATAAAATCTAACTAAAGTCAAATAATTCTTTCAATTCTTTCCCTGTGTGAGCCACATTTATTCTCTAATAGGTAGATGCTAGCTCCTTTGCTATGCTGTGAGCAGTGAGTGTCCTAGTGAATAGCAGATAGGTGGTTGGACATAACTTACTTCTGGTTTTCCACCCCTAAAAATAAGCATAGCTATTTGACTGAATTACTGATAAGAAAAAACATTGCATTCAGTTTGCATTTCAGTGAGGTACAGTACTATTTTCTTTCTTTCTTTTTTTTTTTTTTTTTCAGTACTATTTTCTTGAGCAGGGATTGGTCTCTACTTTAGTCTGTGGCCCATGTCTGGTCTCCTTGAAGCTAAGAGCCAAGCCTTGGCTCCAATTTTCTAAGATGCTCCCCAGGGCCTTGAATCCATTCTACTATTATCAGATACACAAAGACCTGGCCCTGATGATCTCAAGAGTCTCCTCTGGCTTAGAACTTGTGTGACCCAGGGTACTGAGTGAGAAGGCCAGGCAGGCACGTGGATTCCAGGGCATGTCCGCATTCAGCCCTCCCAGAGAGTTGTGCAGGTCATTTGATAACTGGGTGCTGAGTTGTATCAGTGCAGCGGGCCTTGGGCTGAGAGTTGGAAGAACCAGGTTCACTTCCTGCCTGTCAAATGTCATTGTTCACAGAACACGTTCACATGTACCATATTGATCCTACTGCATGCCCTTAAGATTTGGAAAGGTGCTTGAAACAATGTAAGGTAGCACACATTTAATACAATGGCAAATGATGTGACGCAGACTTTTAAAAATGAGGTCAATTAGTATAGGCTTGGAGTAGATGGGGGGGGGCTTAAATCAGATCTTGAAAGAGTATAGGATAGAAGCAGGTGGGTGGGATGAAAGGAATCTCAGTACAAAGATAGACCTATAAGAAGGAACCTAGCACCCTGGGGTGCTGAGGCAGGAGGATTGCAAGTTCAAGCCCAGCTTCAGCACCTTGTCAACTAAGCGAGACTCTGCCTTATGGCTTTTTAAAAAGTATGTGTGTGCGTGGGCAGCTGGATATAGAGCTCAGTGCAAAAGCCCTGGGTTCAGTCCTCAGTACCTGGGTACCTAGCATGTTGAGGGGTATTAAGATGACCATTTTGTCTTCCACAAAGCAAGGCATACAGAGGGATTGAGCTGGTAGTCTTAATACTCAGGCAATCTGAGGATTAGTACAAGTCTGTAGAGACTCTTGCTTTTCTTATCTCCTGTCTGAGCTTTTTAACCTCAAAGTAAACATGACTAGACATGTTTTGATGTTCAGCCAGAAGAAAGATCCTTTCATCTTTCTAATGTTCCCAGTGGTTTCAACGTGGTCTTTCGGTTTTCTCTTGCGTAGATCACCACTGAGCAGTTAACGAGAGATCACACCCAGCATTTTCTGAGTGGAGGGGACATGAAGGTGGAACAACTGTTCCAGGAATTCGGCAACAGAAGGTCTAATACTCTTCAATCAGACAGCACCAAGGACTCTGAAGAATGCTCTCCCACTGGGTCCCAGAGGAGGAGTTCAGATAGCCTGAACACAGGGAAAGGCAGCAGCTCCTCCAGAACCCCCAAAGTGATGCCTCTGACCCCAGAACAAGCGCTGAAGCAGTATAAGCACCTCCTCACTGCCTATGAGAAGATGGAGATCATCAACTACCCGGAAATCTACTTTGTGGGTCCAAATGCAAAAAAAAGACAGGGTGTGATTGGTGGTCCCAATAATGGGGGGTACGATGACGCAGATGGGGCCTATATTCATGTACCTCGAGACCATCTAGCTTATCGGTACGAGGTGCTGAAAATCATTGGCAAGGGGAGCTTTGGGCAGGTGGCCCGGGTCTATGATCACAAGCTCCGCCAGTACGTGGCCCTGAAAATGGTGCGCAATGAAAAGCGCTTCCATCGCCAAGCAGCTGAGGAGATCCGGATCTTGGAACACCTTAAGAAACAAGATAAAACTGGCAGCATGAATGTGATCCACATATTGGAGAGTTTCACATTCCGGAACCACGTCTGCATGGCCTTTGAGTTACTGAGCATAGACCTTTATGAGCTAATTAAGAAAAACAAATTTCAGGGCTTTAGCATCCAGTTGGTACGCAAGTTTGCTCAGTCAATCCTGCAGTCCTTGGATGCCCTCCACAAAAATAAGATCATTCATTGTGACCTGAAGCCAGAAAACATTCTCCTGAAGCACCACGGACGCAGTGCGACCAAAGTCATTGACTTTGGATCCAGCTGTTTCGAGTATCAGAAGCTTTACACGTACATCCAGTCTCGCTTCTACAGAGCTCCTGAGATCATCTTAGGCTGCCGCTACAGCACGCCTATTGACATATGGAGTTTCGGCTGCATCCTCGCAGAACTTCTAACAGGACAGCCTTTGTTCCCTGGGGATGATGAAGGAGACCAGTTGGCCTGCATGATGGAGCTGCTGGGGATGCCACCACCAAAGCTTCTGGAGCAATCCAAACGTGCCAAGTACTTTATTAACTCCAAGGGCCTACCTCGATACTGCTCCGTGACCACTCAGGCAGATGGGAAGATTGTGCTGGTGGGGGGCCGCTCCCGTAGGGGTAAGAAGCGGGGTCCCCCAGGCAGCAAAGACTGGGCAACAGCCCTGAAAGGCTGCGATGACTATTTGTTCATAGAGTTCCTGAAACGATGTCTGCAGTGGGATCCTGCTGCACGGCTGACCCCAGCTCAGGCATTGAGACACCCTTGGATTAGCAAGTCTCTGCCTCGGCCCCTCAACCTCGACAAGGGGTCAGGGAAACGGGTAGTGAACCCCACACATGCTTTGCAGGGACTGGGTTCCAAGCTGCCTCCAGTTGTGGGAATAGCCAATAAGCTTAAAGCTAACTTAATGTCAGAAGCCAATGCCAGTATACCTCTGTGCAGTGTGTTGCCAAAACTGATTAACTAATGGACAGCTCGGAGATTCCTATGTATGTATTTGCATACCTGCAAATGGATAAATATGCAAGCCATTGGTAGATATGTTTTGTTAGACTAGACTTTTTTTTAACCAGACAAACATTTTTATATGATTATAAGAGAATTCTTCAAGGGCTAATTACCTAACCAGCTTGTATTGGCCATCTGGAATATACATTAAATGACTTTTATAGGTCAATGCATCTTTGTTGTTATTGTTAGATGGACTTTGACCTGTTCATTCTATTGGTATAAATCTTTCAAGATACAAGGTACCAAAAGTATGTCTTCCGCCTCTCACTGCTTCTCTCTCCCCATAGCTGTTCTGGAAGGGTCAGGCTGGATGTGGCGGTTGTTGTGGACGCCAGTCAGAGAGTTCATATCCCAACAAGATGTTCTTTGGGCTCATTCGAGATGAAAAGGCTTCCAGGGCAATGTAGAGTCAGGAGCATCTCTAGAGCTTGGACAGTCACTGCTTTTCAGTTGTTCCCTTCGATTCTCTGGTGCAAGGTGTTTTCCTTTTATTGTTACTGTTTTGCTTTTGATTTGTTTCCTGAGCAAATAAAGCATTTTATGGACATCTTACCACTTCACCACATGCAAAGCCGGTGTTATGAAGGCCCAGTGCTATCGGGAGGGCGTGGCCGTCATGTTGGGTTCCAAGTCACTGGGAGCTGCCCTTGATGGAGACTATGCCACACTGGTCTCTTTCCTGGCCATCGGTGGATAGTGTTGCTCTACCGTGTGTCCCACCTGATATACTACCACTGGCTCAAGGGGGTAGGGGGCAGTCATTCATAGACAGTCATTCATAGACAGTCATTCATAGACAAATTAACCCTTTCTCTCTAAGGTGATCTGTCTCAGATATTTCTTACAGTAACGAAAGGGTGGTTAATGCAGGCATGTAAAGTACAGCTCCCAGCTGCATGGCGATCTAGGGGCCAGCCTGCTCACCGCATTTTTATGGCTTGTCCTCCTCACTAAAGTGATCGTGGTCAGGTGAACTCACAATGCCAGCACGTCCCTCCTGTTTTTCCAGCCACCTCAGCATGCTACATTTCCATTCTCACTTTAAGCTTAATGGTACCTCCTCAGATTCTGAGTGAACTTTAGTTATAAGGAAAAAAAAAAAAAAAAAAAAAAAAAAAAAAAAAAAAAAAAAAAACCAACTATTTGAAAACCCTCATGCTAGGAATAATTCATTTTCTCCTTTATTTTTCCTAATTGCATTCACTTCAACAACCTTTTTCTCTGCTAAAGTTGAAAGTTAAGCCAGGTGTTGTGGTGCACCCTTGTTCTTCCAGTACTCGGGAAGCTGAGGCAGAAGGGTCCTGTGAGTTCAAGGCCACAGGCCTCCATAGGGAGGTCCTGTCTCAAAAAATAAATTAATTTTTTAAAAAAGAAAGTTGAACACTGAGGACCAATATGGCCAAAAGGCTTCCTGGAAGTGTGGATGTAATGAACTGCTGTCCTTTTTTCCACTTTTTTGTTGTTTTCCTGCCCCTTCCTCTGCTTTCATGCCCCGCGTCCCTCATGTGTGCTCTTTATAACAATGTTTACTTTCTACAACATACTTCTCAGACTAACCCAGTTCAGTTCTCATGTTTCTGGAATTAAGTTTGCCAACTCCTAAGATTAGAAAGCCCCATCTACCTGGAATGGGTATCAAGGCCAGAGATGTTCTAACCGCCGAGATACATCACCAGGCTGTTTTGTTTTATTTATTTTTTTAAAAAGTCATTACAGTTTTATTTATTTTATTTTTTATCTCTTGGCAGAACTGGGGATTGAACTCAGGCCCTTGCGCTTGCCGGGGAAGCGCTTATTCTGCTGAGCTATCTTCCCAGCCCCCCAGGCTGTTTTATTTTTATTGTGAGACAGTGTCTTGCTAAATTGCCCACACAGGACTCAAACTTGTGATCTTCCCACTCTGGCTCCTGTAGAACTAGGATTACAGTGTGTGTGCCACCACACCTGGGTAGAAGCCAGCTTCTTTTGTTGGGTAACAGCAACAAGACGCGAGAAGGCAAAAGCCATGGACATATTTAGAGAACTTTGGTCTTATCCAGAAGTACTCCTGATTGCCACTTCGAGGTGTGGAAAGTGGCAATGAGGGCCCCGGCTGGGAAGCTCAAACGGAAGCCTCAGCTCTCCAGAATGAGGAAGTTGTGGTACTTTTGGTGCCTGAAAAAACAAGTTTTAAAACTAATTCTTGACTCCTGGTCTATAGAAGGCAGTAGAGTAGACCACACCTATGCCTCTTAATTCCTGTCAGATTCTCTACATAGCTAGAGAAGTTTAGTCACCTCCTGCATTATCGGGGTAGAGCATATGCAGAGGTTGTTTTGCTTGTTATCAGTGTAGCTGACCTGCTCTTGCAAGCAGCAAAAGGTTTGCTGCCTCAAATGATGCACACTGGATTTCGGTATTTGTGTTTTCGGCAATTCTGGGCAGCCAGCTGATGTCTGAGCTCGAGAGAAGGAGCCTATGGCTATGGCTGTGTAGCGAAGGCACCAGAAGGGCCCTGAGCCTGGGCTAGGTGAGAGGACCCAGACACCGCAGGACACTGGGCAAACTAGAGAGCCCCAGGAAGGTGAATGGACGCGTTGCTGCCTAAATTTGGCTATCACTGGGGTGACAGAGCAGAGTCATTCAAGCTGGTGTGCCAGCCCGCTGCAGGCTGACTCACAGGGCAAGTAGGCTGCTGTGCAGGTAGATTTGAGGGGGTAATGGGTGAAGCTTAGGGGGAAATCGTGGCTTTTAATGGCTGTCATCTGGGCCCCTTGGTTAACTATGGTTAAATTTTCCCTTGGAAAGCCAAAGCCAAAGCAGTGGGTGGCTGGACTGGTTCAGGCTTACATTTGCCGTGGCTTACAGTTTCTAGATTATTCTTTGGCCATTTTTGTCCTGACCATGTTAGTTAAGCAGGTCAAGTTGGTTGACTTACCAGTTTCTAAACTGACCAAATCAATTGAATTTCTAAATTGTTATTGATACAGGGAGAGTTGGGTCAGAATTTTTGTTTTATTCCATTCCTAAGATAATGTTTTTTCTTCCAACATGGATAATTGGCTAATCCACCTTCTACCTACACTTCTTTCAGGGCTCCATTCTGCCTCTTATCCCAGTGGTTACTCTAGTCATTCACCACGTGCTCGTGAGTTCTCTGCATATTATAGTGCAGCTTCAATTGGACAGGCTGTGTCTTTTTTTACATTTATTTATTTGGTACAGTATCTTTCTATGCAGCTCAGACTTGTAGTGATCCTCCTGTCTCAGCCTTCCCAGTGCTGGAATTACAGGTGTATGCGCCACGCCCTGCACAGCGTGCCTGGGTTCTGGGGGCATCACAGCATGCGGTTCTGGAGATCAAGCCCTGGTCCTTGTGCTTGCCAGGCAGCCAGGCATTTAGACTGCTGAGCTATCTCCCCAGCCCCATGGGCCATGTCTTTATGATGCCCTGAAATAATGCCTGTAATGGTTCAGCAGATTATGCTAGTTCATTTCCTCACTCACCAGCAGTACGACTGCTGCCGCTTCTTTCAAGTTGACCTGCATTGTGTCTGACCTCTACTATTTAACAAAAGTTGATTAGTAAAGGGTTACTTGAGGCCACTGTCTTCTAGTCCAGTGTTAGACACAGTTACCTGGATAATAATGAAAAAGAAAAATACAGCCATATCCTGTCATGGAAAAGCTGTGCTTCTGCCCCACAGGGGCTTGAAAGAGCAAAGTGTAGCTTGGATCTCCTTACCCAGGGGAAATGGACTCAGCCTGCACTAGCTTACCTCATCCTTAGGTACTAAATGGTGTTGGGGGCAGACAAGTTAACTGGCTACTGTTGTTACATTTTAGTTCTCATGATATTTAAGCTGCTAAGAATGAGAATTACTGTGTGATCAAACCCCAAAAAATTAAATACAAATTTCAACTGTGAACAGTTCCAAACAGTAGCAGCTGCTCTCACTAAAATACTTTCTGCTTTTGCTTAATTCTCAACTAGGCATAATTAAAGCTAAATGCTGGGGCTAGGGAGATGGCTCAGTAGAATAAGTGCTTTCCTAACAAGTGCAACGGCCTGAGTTCAATCCCTGGTTCTGCAAAAAAAAAAAAAAGCTAAATGCTGAATTTTAGGTAGCAGCTGATAAGTGGTCCTGAGTTTTCCAGCTAGAACATTTCTACTACTTTAATGAATGATGGAAAACTCTCAATTATTTTATTTATTTTGTCTTTTTTGAAACAGGGTCTCACTGTGCAGTTCAGGCTGGCTTTAAGCTCACTTTGTAGCCTATGCTGGTCTCAAACTCACAAAAGCTGCTCCTGCCTCAGCCTCCCAAGTGCTGGGATTATGGGTATGTGCCACCACACCTGGCTTGATTATTTTTAGTTATTTCTTTTGCGTCCGTTCTATGATGTCATCAGCACCGAAGTTGGAGAAGTGATGATGATTTTCCAGATAGTTTCCATGTGCTTTCTCTCTGCTGAGAATTAAGGGTCTATACTTAGCTTTGAACCAGGTGGGCGTTGGTCTTGCTAGAGATATAGAAAACATGGATTTGGAACACGAGAGGACCCAGGAGCAGGCAAAGGATTGGCAGATCCAAAATGTGTGTTCTCCACTACGAACAAGCTGTCTCATTTAAAATAACATTTCCAACATCCCCATTCAAAATTTCCTTTCAACTTCAATCTATGCTTCTTCTTGTTTTTTTCCCTTTATGTATTTGGCACAGGGTCTCACTATGAAAACTGGACTTGTAGTGATTCTGTTTTCAGCCTCCCAGTGCTGGGATTATAGGGGTGCACCACCATGCCTGGACTCGGTGGTCAGCTCAGGGTGCCCAGGGGCAGGGGCAGTGTGGCATGCAGTACCAGGGATGGAACCCCAGTCCCTGTGCTTGCCAAAGCAGGTGCTTAGTCTGCTGAGCTATCTTGTTGGTCCCAATCTATGCTTCTAAAGCCCAAGACTTAAAAGAATTTACTTTCAGACCTGATAGTGGGAGAGCCCTTTCCAAGTATCTGTTGAGTTAAGCCTCCTGATTTCAGTAAGAGTTTGTGAGAGTCACAATGAGCCCGTCCACATAACGACTAAAAGCTCTCTGATTCCTGAGATCCACAACCCCTGAGAAAAGCCAGAGCTACAAATACATTGTCTAGACTTCGAAGGAGCTGGGCGTGCTTCTTAACATAGCTCAGCCAC